ACTTGGTGGAGGTACAATTGTTCCTGGTGTGTAGCAACTGCCTGCAAGACTTGCGTATGTGCATCCCGATGAAATAATGTGAGAACTTGATGCAACACACACAGGATCAGGATTTAGTGACCTAGAGAAGGTTGTCGGTTGCAGAAACTTGTTCCTGGATGTTATGGTGTCTCTTGATTTGATTGAGGAAGACATTTGCTGAAGCGAATCCTGGTGCACAAAATACCTGCAAATCAGAGAGAAAATATTGTTACCGTCATCATGATTCTATCAATACTATAATAAAAGAAGTCAGTTCCACTTCTGTCACCTAGGTACATTTAGGTGGCAATTGCAAAGTTGCTTATTTCATTTTACAAACTAACTTCAAACCAAATAAGCAAAGTAATTTCAACATAATACCTGACTTGGAAAATTTGTCTCGTTTACCTTCGGATGACAATGGGTGTCAAAACCCTTTCCACATAAATAGAAATCTGTGCTAAAATCAGCGTCGATCGTATGATTCTGACTATATCATGAACATGTTTACGAATCACTATCCAATAGTGGTTATTGTGTTGTGTTCGCAAAAGAAAGGTGAGCATATTCTACCACACGGGAGGCACAAGTCGAGCAAATGGAAAGGATAGTCACTTATTCACCTGAAGAAAAAACATCGGGAACTTACGGTTAATAGTCAAAGTCAAAATAAGGAATTGCATAGGATATAATTAATGTGATAGATAGAATCTGAGATAGTAAACATTCATGCAGACACTTTCAGTTTTGAGAATCCACATGGTATTAATTCCTCTGGTCTCATTTGATTTGATTTAAACATATTTTATTCAGTGAAGAAAGGGATGAGGAACAAGTTATCCAACTTAGGTAACCATCTCCCGAGTATTTACAACATGATAAATATACAACAACATACATGTAATATAGAAAGAAACAAAGTACAGAAATGGTAGACACCTATGTACGGAGATAGTTATTAAGACATATGAAAATATTTACAGCATTCAAGAAAAACGCTTGCTATTTGATATATAATGCTGAACTGCTTTAAATATTGCATGATTTTGAGTATATGATAAGTTCTTGCTGCCATTTAATAATAAATCTTATTTAAAGCATCATCATGTACCTAATGCCAACATTAAATAAATCGTAATTCAATTCATTTACATGATATCTTAAACGAGTATGAATAATATTTTGTTTGCGGATACCTGTAGAAAAATATGCTGGTGCCATGACAATATGTTTCTTCAAATGTGATGTAAACCGTCTCTGTTGATAGTAACATTCGCTTTTCTAATGGGATATTATTCCATAATACTGTCGTTGATGGGATAAAAGATTGACTTGAGTGTTTAAATCTATATGATGGTCTTACAAAATTTTCAGAGTTTCTAAGGTCATAAGTTGTAGAGTCACGAACAGTCTGAGGAAGTAAATCTATCAGATAAGAAGGTGCATTACCACATTTCATTTTATGATATAATGTCAACTTTCTTCTTTCCCTACGTACTGATAATTGTTCCCAGCCAGTTTCAAAATGGAGATATTTAAGTGGTGTATATTTTGGTAAACCAGTGACAATACGGGCTGCTTCCAGTTGTAGTTGTTCTAGTCTCAATGTCTGTTCAGAATTACACCCATCCCAAACCTCGCAGGCATATTCAAAATGTGGTCTCAATTAAGTACCTTATGAATATGGAGGGTAGTAGTATTAAGGATTATAGTAAGTATTTAGACGGGTATTTTATGGTTCATTTGCTTTAGCCACACATATGTGTGTGTGTGTGTGTGTGTGTACAGAGTTTATTGAAAGTTTTGGAATACAGTGCAAAAGAGATATGGGCATGTCTTCATGTTTTGGAGTCAAGCCAAAATACTGACGAAAGTTTGGCAGAATTCTACCTCAGTTATGATTCTGTATTTAATGTCTTAATACTTATACCTAGCTCTTTTATCAAACAACTGTCGTGATGTTCACATGAAATGGTAATGTAGGTTGAGCCGCGAGGAGCTGGAAAGTTGCTAATGCGTCGGAGAGTAACATTCGTTCATTCCATGCTACTGGAGGCCTTGCGAGTGGGAACAACTACTAACCTTCATTACGGGTAGCCAGACTTTCGATGACGGTGCCTTGGACAGAAGGGCGTGGTTATTCCTGCTGTTTCCTCTTTTTCAGTTGGTGTTTTCAACCAATGACAACATCACTGAATTAACACACGGAAGACATTCTGCATGTTCCTCTTATCGTTTGGCCCATTATTATCATATGTTTCAGCAGCAGCCAGAAATGTTTCATGGTTGTAATACCAATTGGTTTGGTTTGTTTATTGCGTAACGCCGCACTTAGCAGTATTCCAGTCAAATGGCGGCGGTTTGTAAATAATCCCAGTCTGGACCAGATGATCCAAATATCAACATATTGAATATCGATCTACGCAGTTAAGATACAATGTGTCAACCAAGTCAGCGAGTCTGACCACCCGATCCCGTTAGTCTCCTACTACGAAGATCAACTCGAACAAGGCTCTTAACGAGTGTCACAATTGGTATGAGGCTCTCTTCAAATTGAACAAGTGATGAAGGTTGTATTGTCAACAATAGAGAGGTCACCTATGATTATATGACCTACAGGCTGGTAGCAGTACAATTAATCTTGGAATTTGCCTCGTGAAGTGCCATGTCTACTGGTGTTCAGCAATACATTCCTAAAATTTAACAACAAGGACGAAATGGTGTTTGCTCAGAATAGGAAATTAGGAATATTTTTGTACACAGATTTTTGTTGGAGAATGTTTTTTAAATTTAATAGAAGCGACTAAACCTTTCCGTATCTATCAGAAATCTCTGCTGAAGGCAGGGTCGATTGTACAATTCCGACCATATTATGATGATGTGATGATGTGCCACATTCAGCAATATTACAGCTGTATAACGACGGTCTGTACATCCAGTCTTGACCAGACAATCTAGTGATTGACATGACACGATCACAGAGCATTGTTTTATTAATCACTCTATCAAACAGTGATGACACCAGATGTCAGCGAAAAGGTGCCTGCCCCACGGGTGAAACCCGTCTTAAACATATGAAAGGCTGGCCAATTGTTACCTGACAACAACCGGGAGGGTATGGTAAAGTCAAAATAAGGAATAACTTTGGACATAATATTGTCACTGATCCATCACATTTTGAAATTCCAGCCATACAATAGTTTGAAAGCTTTACTGAGGCCCTGAATGTAAACCTGATCTAACAAGAGTCGGGTGACACTTTGTTTGATATCTTTGTAAAATGAGCATGCTCGAGTATAGTTTTGTTCTTTCTGTGTGCAGTCCCAGTGGTTCTTGAAGGAGAGACCACAAATCTTCCAGATGCATGCCACACCTGCAATACACTCTCCTCAAAGCTTTTCCACATTCATCGTAGGAATTTGGAAAACTCTTGCAGAACAGCCAGGTGTGCAAGTTGCACGAGTGAAATTTAATATTTCACTGCTCACGCTTGGTGATTAGATTGGTGTTCTACCAGCAAGTTCCCCCCCAGCCCCTCGTAAAATAACGAAAATTGGCAACAGTCATTGACTGTACTTGGCAATGACAACTGACATGCATAGTGACGTCTGTTACCAAGGGTACGTTTCATTACGCGGGAGCAGACTTGAATGGCATAGTGACGTCAATACGGTGTGACTTAATGCATTGAATGTACTCTATCGTCTGTTAAAGTATTGTGGGCGCCTTTGATCTTTTAGCGAAGCATCTGACAATCGTTTATATACTGGACAGGTGGTATGTCCTGGGGATTATCATCAGCGTAAGAATGGTGTGAGATCCTGTGGTTTCTGGTACTGTTTGCAGCATGGCCCGTATATAATATGAAGAGTAACAAACCAATAACAGATCACTGGGGCACTCCATGATTTAGGGTTTCATTCTCAGAGCTCTACAGACCAGTACGAACACACTGATGTTTCTCAGAGAGATAAGATGCCATCCACTAAAATGTAAATGTACGTACAAGAGCAGCAACCTCTACATCATCATCATCATCATCATCATCATCACACGGAATCTCATCTGTCACTTGCTGTTCCGGTGCTGTGGTACTGGTGATAGCACATTGGAATAGATGGTCTTATTCATATAGAAACTGACAAAGGGCCTTCCCAAAGCTTGCTTGAACACTCTACTCATAGGGAGCTGTAAATGTTAATATTGTTGGGAGTGACATGTCACGAACTATACCACGAACTTAGATGGTATCAGAGGTACAGTCAAGGCGTAGGCTTATCTATCCATATAATGGCCTGAATTTCCTTTTGCCTTTTTATACCATGGGAATCGTCAGTACACCGAGCCTGTTCGCACAATATTTCAAAAACTTATTTTAGTGTTGAAAATGTTTTGAAGGAGTTATTTTATTTGCCCTTGATAAATAACATTTTCTCGATCACGAATCTCTAAATTACACTGTCCTAATATGTCTGTACTCAGAGCCAGACACCCGTACAGCACCGCTGTTTTCTATCACTATTTCTCGAGTAAAATGACAAACAGTGCAAAACAACTTCATAACTATCAAGGGTGATTGTCTTATCGTTCCAAATCCATGATCATTATCCGGTGGGCCAATTGTTAAGTTGACTGCAAAATGGCGACTGGACCGGTGCCATAGTGTAAAGCAGCAATAGAGTAATGCATTAAAATCTGTATTACCCATCGCGTTGATGGTAGATAAAAAATGCATGGGTTCGTTGGACCCAAACGTGCTTTGATTGACTGATTATCTAATAAAGTAGACCAGACACGTGTTTTTTTAAAGCAGTGACTCATTCAGGGTATATGTAGTTGAGCGTATGAACTACCACCGTGACGCATCGCCTAACACGTATTGATCCATTAAGTCTCCCTGTCATGATAACAGTTGTGATTATTATCTTCATTGTGATTTCACCAATTGTCAATAAAATATCCATTTTGTGTTACTTCAGGAATCCGAGGTGATGCCCATACTGGCGACAAAGACGGCCTTTCCGGTGATAAAACGTTACAAAGGGAAAAACGGTTCTGGCTGTATGATAAATTTAAAAACAAAAAGATGTTTCAAAAGTTCAGAGATGACGGCCTGTCCTCAGAAACCGAGAAGCTGTGGGTGAAATTCATCAAGAAAATGCATTACGACTTCGTGAAGACCGAAGGTGACAGCGTGGAGTTTCCCTGTAAAAACGAAGTCTCGCAGAATATAGCTTCCGAGTACCCCAAATCTGTATACCATTGGTCCGTTAACGAGTACCCTGTTGTCATGGATGCATCCCGGATGTTTTTGTTCAAGGGGACCTTTTCCATCAGGGATGTAAACTTCAAGGACACCGGTGTGTATGTGTGTTTGATGGAATACAGCAAGAAGAATTTTAAGACGGTTGGGATCTATTCTTTGACAGTGAAGACAGAAGGCCCCACAAAAAGTGTCCGTGAGACAGAGGCACTGGAGCTCACCTGCAACAGTAATGCGTTGTCTCAGATGTACCCCGAGACAAGCTTAAAGTGGTTTCTGAATAATACAGAATATGTACCAGTTGTAAAGACGAACACAAGTGAGAAAGTCATTGTTAAAAATGTACGGAGTAATTCCACAGGAAATTGGACATGTGCAGTGACAGATCCGGTGACAAAAAGAACGTGGCATACAGCGTGGTACAACGTTGCCGTAACGCCACCTCCGCCCTTGTATAAACGGTTGTACAACTTGATGCTGGAGTACAAGTTGTACACAGGTCTGATCGTCCTTGGTGTTGTGCTGTTTGCAGGTTTAGTGTTAGGCGTATGTATATACACCGCACATAAAGCCAAGGGAAGAAATAATGAGAGCTTTGGGAGGATGAAGGATAAAATCTTGTCCATGAAGACGAACGATATGTTTGGACTGAACACTGTGAAATTTAATTTGTTGTCTGAAACTTCAGATGAAGAATCTGAATCTTCAAGTGTCGAAACCCCTTCGTCATTCTGTTCTGAGTCTTCTGTATCTAACGGTTCAAATTCCAGACTAATTTCACAACCGAGGACTTTCTTGAAGTAAGCGCCCTATTCCTAAAGTGAGTGACATTTTACGTCGCATCGGCATTTTTTCAGCCATATAGTGACGAGACCAAATTTACATGACTGAAATATAAACTACCGGGTAGAAGAATGTTATCGCCGACTTCACTTGACCAATAACAAATAGAAACAAAGACGTTTGTGAGATTTAAGGTAATTATTTTCCAAATAGAAATTAGTTTCCAATAATTTGACTGAACATTCATTGTAATGCATTTGCCACAATTAAGCGAGAAGTCAAGGGGTAAAAATTCCATATTACTCAAATCAGAGTTCATTCAAAAAGTGCATGAATTGTCACATAATGAACCAAAATTCAGGAGACACGTCATCAATAGCGAGTGTGACGAGCTTGGGCATCCATACACGCCAACACACGTCTCCTCATTGACGTAGGCAGTCGGCGGATGACGTCAGCAGGAATCCTGCTCCTTAAGTCTAAGAGAATCAGTTCAAGTTTCTGTCGGTTCGCCCTAGGCTGTAGGTCTGTGTTAGCTGACGATCAAGACGATGATCACAGAGGTGTTCAATGGGGTTCATGTCTGTAGAACGCGCTGACCAACGCAATACGTTGACGTTAACGTTGTGCAGGTATTTCGAACAATTCTGGAGTTGTGAGGCCTTGCGCTGTTAAGTAAAGGTCACAACAAAAGGTATCAATACTTCATCTCTGTATTGCTGGGCATTCAGATTACATCGTATGATAACCAGTCTTGTTGTTTTCTGGCCACAGCTGACACCCTGTACCATGAAGGATGAACTTCTTGAACGCAGTGTGGCGCCAGTGGCTCTTCTCTACGGCGAAAAACGTTTCGTTTCGGAACTGATCCACTGAACCGATTTTCATCTCTCCCAGTCACGTCGCTGCCACCGATGTACAGTTTGTGCCCAATGTCAGTCTGTATTGACGGTGCAGACGGGTCAAAGCCATTCCACGGAAGGAGCGATAGGCCCGTATACATAATACCAGCCATACCCAGTCGTCCAAGGACTGTTCGTCTGTTGATGACGTATCCTAGTGGTGTTGCCGCCGTTGATGTAGCCGACACAAATCTGTTCCGGAGGTGGATCTATCGAATGTAGCGGTATCATGACTCTTGGCCTTCCCGATCCTGGGCGGTCTTGCGGCTAGTATGTGTGCTGGTAGAGATTTCTCAATTTGCTGATAGTGGCCTGGTTGCAGTTAAAGGCTCTTGCTGGCCAGCTGACGTGAAGCCCCATATTGGCCAGACCGATCGCCCTGTCTCGTTGCGTTTCCGAACGTCTTGGCATATTCATGGTGGCTTTTTGGTAACTCACTGCATGCTTGCTCTGTCCAACCAATGTCCCACAATTACATTTTTCACGTTTTGAAAAATGCCCGAATCGTACGAAGTTTTCGGACAGTTGCTTTGTTCTTGGGACCATGCTGCGTTTTGGCGAACCAGCGTTTTTGTTTTTCATACAATTACTTTAAAAAGGATAACTTTCTTTTGCCCGGTAGATTAGTAAATAGTTATAGAAATATAGGGTATTCATTGACTTGTTCTATTTTATTCAGGATGTGTTATGTGTTTAAATTGTAACATTGATAATGAGAAATACAAACGGGACATACACATATGTTGGAAGTGAGCGTGGTGGATTTAACGGCGCTTTGATAAGCATTTCTGTCGTCAAGGAGTTTTTTTTATCTCGCTCCTAATTTCACCCACATTATTCTATAATCTGTTGGTAGTGTAGAAATGCCTTTGAAGAAATCTGGCCCCGTTTTCTCGTGGTCACGTGGGATTGTCCCACTGTAGCCCGATTATGTCGTGAACCTAACGTTCGTTTAACTGTAAGTACATACGATTATGTCGCTAAACGGGAGTCCGACTGGAGGTCCCAATTGCAAGCCCATGCATGCTTCGAGGCGACTATCGGTGCGGTTGGCCATGTAATGGACAGGTCCACTGCAAGGGACGATCGAGGGTCAGGATGTCAATCATTAGATCATCCAGTCCAGACTCCATTTCTTAATTTAACACACACACACACACACACACACACACACACACACACACACACACCCAACAAACCCCATAACTTTTTACACATAGATTCGCGAGTGTCAATCAAGTTATCGCGATCATATTTTTTTTTTTAAACAGTATTCTTTATGTAAATATATTTAAATACATATTTATTTATTTTTATTTGTTGTTTTTTTAACATAGTAATATAAATATTTGTTTATCTTTATGTTATTTATTTGAATATTTATTTTTTTATGTTATATTTTATTTTAATTTTAATTTATTTTTTGGGGTTTGGAAGGGTAGCCTAGTGGTGTGGTTAAACCATACACTCGTGTACTCTGCAAAAAAGGATTCGATTCACCAGATGGGTACATTGTGTGAAGCCCATTTCTGGTGTCCCCCTCCGTAATATTGCTTGAATATTGCTAAAACTAAACTCACTAAAATCTGTTTTAATGTGCAAGAAATACGAATAAATCTACTTAGAACTTCTGATGTACTCATTGTCCGAAGATAAGACTATATTCAGACCATGTCTCGTCACCTACTGTCATTGTTCCAGTTGTGTCAGGCGAAGCTTATTGTGAGTACACGTGGACGTGAGTGCGTTATCCAGTATCCCATGACCGCCATATATTATATAGATAGAGGATATATAATGATTGTGAGTACACGTGGACGTGAGTGCGTTATCTAGTATCCCATGTCCGCCATATATTATATAGATAGAGGATATATAATGATTGTGAGAGTACGTGGACGTGAGTAGAGGTTATCCAGTATGCCCATGACCGCCATATATTATATAGATAGAGGATATATAATGATTGTGAGTACACGTGGACGTAAGAGCGTTATCCAGTTTCCCATGACCGCCATATATTATATAGATAGAGGATATATAATGATTGTGAGTGGACACGTTATGGACGTGAGTGATTGTGAGTATGGACCAGTATCAGTATCCCATGACCGCCATATATTATATAGATAGAGGATATATAATGATTGTGAGTACGCGTGGACGTAAGAGCGTTATCCAGTATACCATGACTGCCATATATTATATAGATAGAGGATATATAATGATTGTGAGTACACGTGGACGTGAGTGTGTTATCCAGTATCCCATGTCCGCCATATATTTTATAGATAGAGGATATATAATGATTGTGAGTACACGTGGACGTGAGTACGTTATCCAGTATCCCATGACCGTCATATATTATATAGATAGAGGATATATAATGATTGTGAATACACATGGACGTGAGTACGTTATCCAGTATCCCATGACCGTCATATATTATATAGATAGAGGATATATAATGATTGTGAGTACACGTGGACGTAAGAGCGTTATCCAGTATCCCATGACTGCCATATATTATATAGATAGAGGATATATAATGATTGTGAGTACACGTGGACGTGAGTACGTTATCCAGTATCCCATGACCGCCATATATTTTATAGATAGAGGATATATAATGATTGTGAGTACACGTGGACGTGAGTGCGTTATCCAGTATCCCATGACCGCCATATATTATATAGATAGAGGATATATAATGATTGTGAGTACACGTGGACGTAAGAGCGTTATCCAGTTTCCCATGACCGCCATATATTATATAGATAGAGGATATATAATGATTGTGAGTACACGTGGACGTGAGTGTGTTATCCAGTATCCCATGACCGCCATATATTATATAGATAGAGGATATATAATGATTGTGAGTACGCGTGGACGTAAGAGCGTTATCCAGTATACCATGACTGCCATATATTATATAGATAGAGGATATATAATGATTGTGAGTACACATGGACGTGAGTGTGTTATCCAGTATCCCATGTCCGCCATATATTTTATAGATAGAGGATATATAATGATTGTGAGTACACGTGGACGTGAGTACGTTATCCAGTATCCCATGACCGTCATATATTATATAGATAGAGGATATATAATGATTGTGAGTACACGTGGACGTAAGAGCGTTATCCAGTATCCCATGACCGCCATATATTATATAGATAGAGGATATATAATGATTGTGAGTACACGTGGACGTGAGTGTGTTATCCAGCATCCAATGACCGCCATATATTATAGAGATAGAGGATATATAATGATTGTGAGTGTGGACACGTGGACGTGCCATATATTATAGAGAATGGGGTGTTATCCAGTATCCCATGACCATGCCGCCATATATTATAGAGATAGAGGAAATATAATGATTGTGAGTACACGTGGACGTAAGAGCGTTATCCAGTATCCCATGACTGCCATATATTATATAGATAGAGGATATATAATGATTGTGAGTACACGTGGACGTGAGTGTGTTATCCAGTATCCCATGACTGCCATATATTATATAGATAGAGGATATATAATGATTGTGAGTACACGTGGACGTGAGTGCGTTATCCAGTATCCCATGACTGCCATATATTATATAGATAGAGGATATATAATGATTGTGAGTACACGTGGACGTGAGTGTGTTATCCAGTATCCCATGACTGCCATATATTATATAGATAGAGGATATATAATGATTGTGAGTACACGTGGACGTGAGTACGTTATCCAGTATCCCATGACTGCCATATATTATATAGATAGAGGATATATAATGATTGTGAGTACACGTGGACGTAAGAGCGTTATCCAGTATCCCATGACTGCCATATATTATATAGATAGAGGATATATAATGATTGTGAGTACACGTGGACGTGAGTACGTTATCCAGTATCCCATGACCGCCATATATTTTATAGATAGAGGATATATAATGATTGTGAGTACACGTGGACGTGAGTGTGTTATCCAGTATCCAATGACTGCCATATATTATAGAGATAGAGGATATATAATGATTGTGAGTACACGTGGACGTGAGTACGTTATCCAGTATCCCATGACCGTCATATATTATATAGATAGAGGATATATAATGATTGTGAGTACACGTGGACGTAAGAGCGTTATCCAGTATCCCATGACTGCCATATATTATATAGATAGAGGATATATAATGATTGTGAGTACACGTGGACGTGAGTACGTTATCCAGTATCCCATGACCGCCATATATTTTATAGATAGAGGATATATAATGATTGTGAGTACACGTGGACGTGAGTGCGTTATCCAGTATCCCATGACCGCCATATATTATAGAGATAGAGGATATATAATGATTGTGAGTACACGTGGACGTAAGAGCGTTATCCAGTTTCCCATGACCGCCATATATTATATAGATAGAGGATATATAATGATTGTGAGTACACGTGGACGTGAGTGTGTTATCCAGTATCCCATGACCGCCATATATTATATAGATAGAGGATATATAATGATTGTGAGTACACGTGGACGTAAGAGCGTTATCCAGTATACCATGACCGCCATATATTATATAGATAGAGGATATATAATGATTGTGAGTACACGTGGACGTGAGTGTGTTATCCAGTATCCCATGTCCGCCATATATTTTATAGATAGAGGATATATAATGATTGTGAGTACACGTGGACGTGAGTACGTTATCCAGTATCCCATGACCGTCATATATTATATAGATAGAGGATATATAATGATTGTGAGTACACGTGGACGTAAGAGCGTTATCCAGTATCCCATGACTGCCATATATTATATAGATAGAGGATATATAATGATTGTGAGTACACGTGGACGTGAGTACGTTATCCAGTATCCCATGACCGCCATATATTTTATAGATAGAGGATATATAATGATTGTGAGTACACGTGGACGTGAGTGTGTTATCCAGTATCCAATGACTGCCATATATTATAGAGATAGAGGATATATAATGATTGTGAGTACACGTGGACGTGAGTGTGTTATCCAGTATCCCATGACTGCCATATATTATAGAGATAGAGGAAATATAATGATTGTGAGTACACGTGGACGTAAGAGCGTTATCCAGTATCCAATGACTGCCATATATTATATAGATAGAGGATATATAATGATTGTGAGTACACGTGGACGTGAGTGTTATCCAGTATCCCATGACTGCCATATATTATATAGATAGAGGATATATAATGATTGTGAGTACACGTGGACGTGAGTGCGTTATCCAGTATCCCATGACTGCCATATATTATATAGATAGAGGATATATAATGATTGTGAGTACACGTGGACGTGAGTGTGTTATCCAGTATCCCATGACTGCCATATATATATAGATAGAGGATATATAATGATTGTGAGTACACGTGGACGTGAGTACGTTATCCAGTATCCCATGACTGCCATATATTATATAGATAGAGGATATATAATGATTGTGAGTACACGTGGACGTAAGAGCGTTATCCAGTATCCCATGACTGCCATATATTATATAGATAGAGGATATATAATGATTGTGAGTACACGTGGACGAGTACGTTATCCAGTATCCCATGACCGCCATATATTTTATAGATAGAGGATATATAATGATTGTGAGTACACGTGGACGTGAGTACGTTATCCAGTATCCCATGACCGCCATATATTATAGAGATAGAGGATATATAATGATTGTGAGTACACGTGGACGTGAGTACGTTATCCAGTATCCCATGACCGCCATATATTATATAGATAGAGGATATATAATGATTGTGAGTACACGTGGACGTGAGTACGTTATCCAGTATCCCATGACCGCAATATATTATATAGATAGAGGATATATATAATGATTGTGAGTACACGTGGACGTGAGTGTGTTATCCAGTATCCATGCATGACCGCCATATATTATATAGATAGAGGATATATAATGATTGTGAGTACACGTGGACGTGAGTACGTTATCCAGTATCCCATGACCGCATATATATTATATAGATAGAGGATATATAATGATTGTGAGTACACGTGGACGTTGAGTGTGTTATCCAGTATCCCATGACCGCCATATATTATAGAGATAGAGGATATATAATGATTGACGTGAGTACGTTATCCAGTATCCGTGGACGTGAGTACGTTATCCAGTATCCCATGACCGCCAATATATATTATATAGATAGGGATATATAATGATTGTGAGTACACGTGGACGTGAGTACGTTATCCAGTATCCCATGACCGTCATATATTATATAGATAGAGGATATATAATGATTGTGAGTACACGTGGACGTGAGTGTGTTATCCAGTATCCCATGACTGCCATATATTATATAGATAGAGGATATATAATGATTGTGAGTAAACATGGACGTGAGTACGTTATCCAGTATCCCATGACTGCAATATATTATATAGATAGAGGATATACATGTATAATGATTGTGAGTACACGTGGACGTGAGTGTGTTATCCAGTATCCCATGCATGACCGCCATATATTATAGAGATAGAGGATATATAATGATTGTGAGTACACGTGGACGTGAGTACGTTATCCAGTATACCATGACCGCCATATATTATATAGATAGAGGATATATAATGATTGTGAGTACACATGGACGTGAGTACGTTATCCAGTATCCCATGACTGCAATATATTATATAGATAGAGGATATACATGTATAATGATTGTGAGTACACGTGGACGTGAGTGCGTTATCCAGTATCCCATGACCGACATATATTATATAGATAAAGGGTATATAATGTTTTCTTCTCACTATGTCTCATCACCAGAGTGAGTGAGTTTAGTTTTACGCCGCACTCAGCAGTATTCAAGCTATATAGCGGCGGTCTGTAAATAATCGAGTCTGGACGAGTCAATCCAGTGATCAACAGCATGAGCATCGACCTACACAATTGGGAACCGATGACATCTGTCAGCCAAGTCAGCGAGCCTGACCACCCAATCCCGTTAGTCGCCTCTTACGACAAGCATGGTTTACTGAAGATCAAATCTAACCCGGATCTTCAAGGGTGTCAACGTGTGAACGTGATTGTATTTGTGTTAAGCGTGTGAACAAACAGGTATGAACAAACGCCTCAAAAAGATTATATATACAAAAGATCCATCAAATAATAAAACAAGAACATTAATAGTTCCACGTCACAGCTGTATTGGAAGTAGGCTTGTCCGTGTCAATGGATGTATACTAGGAATCGTACACCTGAAACAATAGATGAATGGAAATCATGCACTTGGAACAATGGATGTATGGAAATTATGCACCTGAAATAATGGATGAATGAAAATCATGCAGTTGGAACAATGGATGAATGGAAATCATGCACTTGGAACAATGGATGAAAGGAAATTATGCAGTTGGAACAATAGATAAATGGAAATCAGGCACTTGGAACCTAATCCAGGAAATATTGCTTATACTTGTTGAAGAACATAACAATCCCAATGGTCAGTCCAATCTTGTGAAACCTAATTCTAAGTCGCCGGGTTGTGTGACGTCACTTGCTTGTCACGTCATTATTATTATTAAACCTGTTCACTGTGTTCGAGACTGCAACGAGAAAGATCTAATTGTCACACACATTTTCACCATCGAATCTTTGTCTTCGTTGCTTAGTAACAGGTGTCACAAGCCGGGTGCTCTACCTACGTGCATTCGCAACTACACAGTTCTGTAGTGTCCAAGTTGGACTACCACTGGCACACATAATCTTATTCAATATCATGCATTTATAAGAATTTACTCCACGGTGGCCTATATGAAGTCAATATACTGACTATAAACAACAGCTGAATAACATATGTACATGGTTAATGACGGGATGATTCACTCGAGTTAATATCATCTCAAGTGACATATCATGAGATAAGCAATTTATTCTCTCCTGATCAGCTCACGTAAAATATTGAAACTGGGTTGTACAATATTATCTGTATCATATTGTATGAATAATTATGTAGATCCATCAGTGTGATATTATATCTGTTTTTATGCAAAAACTAGTTGAGCAGAGGGGGAATGGGGCTTAACGTTCAAGGTACTCCATTTTTGTTTCATTTTATAGCGACGTGCATGCGTGAGTACTACCGTGCGTACGAGCGTGCGCATGTGCGTGAATGGCGGTTTGTCCTAGTCTGGAGTAATGCCGGCTTTTATCTGAGATACCATCAACATAGGACATTCGACTCAAACACAGTACGACTCAAAGCCGAGTCAACCGATATTGTTAACACCCAAGATAAAGTGTCACGAATCAGACCCATGTGTGTGACTGAACCCGGTCAGAGTCAGCCTCTAGGCTACCAGTGACTCTGAGGTGTGTGCCATGCCATGTGACGGCGTGGGAAACAGAACAAAGGAGTAAGTTAGTGAGTGAGTTGGGTTTAGTTGTTTGGGACGATCTGTGTACACCACAGCCTAACAGCAAACTACAGGAGAACCGTCCGAATTGACACAGGATACATGCATACTGTCTAACATTGGTACGATAAAAATCAACCAAGGATCATAATTGGACAGAACCATGAATCTGGAATCAGCGTATCCTGACACGGTTTCTGGAGACAACTATTGGCAAGTTTATGCGGCATTGATCACCAGGTCACCGTTAGCCCCTGTATGTAGGCAATTGCAAGTGCATAGATCAGCATACAGTTCTAACAATAAGTGTATCTGACGAATTATATAATAATTGTTACCTTAAAAGTTCATTTTGATCGGAAACTGCGCAATTCCTTGAAGAATGGACTCCAACTGCAAAAATGTGAAAGAGTTTTGTGTACAAGAAAAAAAAATCAGTGAACGGTACAAGTTCATCTCACGGTCCGTTCAACAAAATGGTCTAAGGTGGTCGTTTCTCCCACGCTTTAACACCTCACTCAGCAATATTCCATATATATGACGGCTGTGTGGAAATAATCGAGTCTGGACCAGACACTCCAGTGATCAACAGCATGAACATAGATCTACGTATTTGGGATACGAAATTTCAACATAGACGATCGAGGTAGCGTTAACATTACTTTGCAGATCGGGTCCATTTCTTTTTCCATGAGAAATATGGCCGTTGTTTTCAGGCCCTGTAACATGGTTGTGAGGGACGTCACAGGATCACTAGGTTTGTCTTGCCCAGACGCGATTATCCACGCCGTAATCGAGTCTGGACCAGATAATCCAGTGATCAACAGCATTAGCATCAATCTACGCAACTAAGATGTGATGACATGTGTCAACCAAGTCAGCGAGCCTGACCACCCGATCCCGTCAGTCGCCACTTACGACAAGCATGGGTTGCTGAAGATCAATCGTAACCCGGATCTTAACGGGTCGTCATTTTGGGGCAAGCCAGGTACACGTTAACTGACGTAGAAAGTACGAAGAAAGTAGTGAGATTATCTGACACTACAGAATTACAGAAAAAAGCCTTGAGATTATCAGACTTGTTAGTCACATGTCACAAGTCACACACGTTTCTAAATATTCACAATCTGCTGTTTTGTTTTGTTTTCTTACTTGAAAAACCCCTAACCCAAACAGACAAATGTGTACTTTCTTTTGTACTTCAGTTTACTTACATGATCCCATTATCATAACGTGACCACAATGAGAAAATGAAACGGTATCACAGTGGATGAATTTGATTTTGAAAAGAGGATAACGGAATTCGAAAAAAAACCACACAATTGATCACCGTCACACATCAGATAAAAAATCAATTTATTGAAAACCCTGAGGTAATAACTTTGTTCGATGCATAATTCAAAGAAATGGCGACAGTGTGTCTAACCCACGTCAGGCAGTGACCGGATAAAGGAAAAGCAGCGTTGATGAGGTGAACGCAGATCAACATTACGACATTTCTCATCACCTTAAAAAGTACACAGGGTACATATATCGATTTTGATTGGAGTATTTATTCATTTTACCATATGCAGCGCCACAAATCCCCTTTAATCTCACGCAGCCTATAGGCTATAGGAATTGAATGCATTTAAATAAAAAACAATAAAACAGACAATCGGAATTGAGCTGTGTGTATAGGGCGATGTTAAGGTTGGGAGAAAAATAGACGTATTTCTATTTTGTTATGGCTTATTGAGATTGTTGTTCAGTTGAAACTGTACACAAAGCTTTTGGGGGTAAAACTTCAATGTTCCATTTAAAAATACATTTAACGACTTAATAAAATTGTCTCGGGGACATTTGGCATCCATTAAGTCAAATGCATGTGCATTAAATAACAGCTTGGGCTTGGCTTAATGAGTTTTAAAGAACGCTCATGAGATACAATTTCCGCTCGTCATTATTTATCACAATTTCCGCTCGTCACTATTTATCATAATGTAATCTTGTGTACGTGAGGAGAATTATGAGCTTAAAGGCTTTGTCGTGGTCACAGACTTTAAAATACCATGACAGATGAGGTTATGATTTAATACATTGCATAATTTGTTGAGATGCTTGAACACAATATTAATTTTATTTACATGTCTTGAATCAGTCACACATAATTAATTAGACATGTAAAGTTTTCCAGTTTTTGTTTAGTGATATCTGTTATTTTTTCTTAAGTACTATTCGATGATTTGCAAACTTAATAGTCCTTAATCTCTGCGTCCAGATAGACTTAGAAAGGTGGGCTAGCCTATTGGTTAAAGCGTTCGCTTGTTACACTGAAGGCCCGGGTTCGATTTCCCGCATGGGTATAATGTATGAAATGTATGAAGCCCATTTCGGGTGTCCCCCGCTGTGATATTGCTGGAACCCCACCCACTCAATACTAGTAGTTACACTTGTTTCCCGTCTCCCAGATGACAAAAGCGCTGAGATTGCCGAACGATAAAGAGCGGAACAAGTTAACATTATATTATAGTGACACTCGTTTCGTCCCAGTGACATGGACCTGACGTATTATATGGGTGGTGGAACTAGTTGACTAACAACTAGTCTCAATATATAAATATACAATGTAGTTTGATTATTTGGAAAGCTCCATTCAAAAAGAAAATGTGCCCCAATGAGATGAAAAGTTCAGAGAGAGTTTAATTTTACGCTGCACTGAGCAATATTCCAGCTACATAGCGGCGGTCTGTAAATAAGTCTGGGCGAGATAATCCAGTGATGAACAGCATGAGCATCGATCTACGCAATTGTGAACCGATGACATGAGTCAACCAAGTCAGCGAGCCTGACCACCCGATCCCTTTAGTCGCCTCTTACGACAGGCATAGGTTACCGAAAACCAATTCTAACCCAAACAAACAATCATATATGTCGTTTTCCAAGAAAATATGCAATTTGACTGGCTTTGGATAACACGAAAACTTTACTGAAGATCGCTATTTTAACCCGGATCTTCGCGGGTGGAAAGTTCAGAAGTAAAAGAGCTATAATTTGTTTCATTTAGGGCTTCTGCATTTTATAAAGGGTTGGGCAGATGGCATAATAAAATAGTTCAGGGACAGACTACTGAAGTATTGATTTATTCAGACGGGTGCAATATACCTAGTGTATTACTTTTGACTTTCGGTGGTGGAGGGAGATGGGACAGCGCTACGCAATATTTAGATTACAAATTCTAGCAGGTACAACTACTCTACAAGGTATTTGTACATGGAACTTTCCAACATAGTCTAGAATATTATGTTACACTTTCTGTAAGGCGCGCTTTTGGTTCGTACATCTCACGTCACAAAGAGACCAACAGTGGTGTGCAGATCACTTTGCACCCTTGATACTCAGCCAAGGCCGAGTTCGGAACTTGACCAGTGTTGTAGTTAGGTGAATATTACTGCCTTTAAACGTACTCCTACATTTTGTACTACCATTGTAGTTCCCATATATGGTGATATGTACTGACTTGTAAACTTAGTTACCTTCAGAATGCAATTGGAAACCATCTCACAATCCTTTGTTGTTTCTTGGTTTCATGTTGAGTTGTTTTACGGACTGATTTCCGGCTAACGTATTGTTTCAATATGGGAATCAACATGCAGCAATATCATGTGAGGAATATTCCATCGAACGGACCCGCGTTGCTGGAGAAATTTACCATAAACATTCGTCAAAACTACCAGATCATCAAAAGGAAATATCAACCTGCATTTTGAGGAGTTCGTTTTCAGTGATTTCATTTCTGTCCTTCCGGGCCCTCTGGAGAGATGGAGCGAAGCCACCCTGACCTCTCAGCAGGTCAAGGATCATCTTGATGGGGTAGTGTCCAATCACAGTGTCCGGTGTCGGCCGCGGCCTTCGCATCTGGTCAACCTTGTCAACGATCAAACGAGTTTGTGACTGTAGTCGCAGAAGATGAACCAGTGTTACCTGTAGACTTTATCATGTACTTCCCGACCAAGTGACACATATGGGAGTGCCGTGATATTGCTGGAATATTGCTGAAAACGGCGTAAAACCATACTCACTCACTCGCCGACCAAGTGAAAGCAAACTAAGGGTTAACAGCATCAGCATCGGACGGTTATTTCAGTTCATCGTGGTACATTTACTTTATGATGAGATCTATATGCACATATCGACACAGAGACGACCGAAGGTTAAACAGATTATGGTTTAAAAAAGCAGAGTTAGCAATAACCTTTAACCCCTCGGTTGCTTTTCAAAGCATGATACATGACAACTGTTCACAGTTTAAGTGACACGTGCAATTCGCTATGCAGAGTTGCCTCCCCATGAGCAAGCCAGAAAGCCGTGATCCTTCGTTCGCCCAGTTACGTTTCTTCATTCGTAAGCACCATGAACGTGGGCTTCACCGAAAGCCATTCGTAACTACTCGTGTCAGTCCGGCAAGCCAGATGGCGTCTTGTACCCCTCTCGTGGCCATGTTTACGACTAAGCCCTGTCTAAGCGCAAACGGGCATGGAGATGAAAATAGTCTAGTACTAGTACCAAGGAAAGATAACTCTGAATGTCCAAACATGGTTACCCCAAGAACATCCTATAGCTATATCCCGTGGACAAAACACAGTCATCCCCTTTGTAAATATGTTTCAGTGTTGAAAGTTGCTGATCCGTCAGCTCAAAGTTTGTTTAAATTGTTCTTTGCATAGTTAGCGAAGTTTCAAAGTTCAACGGTGCCGCCATTTTCATGCTTCGAAATGCGTTTTACTACTGGCGATTCGATTGGTTTGCCATGATTCTTGGCAATAATGGCGTACGATAGGGGTACGAGTCATTCGTAACTACTCGCCTCTTTCCGTGACCTACAAGAAGACTACAACAAGAAGGGTACGAGACACCATCCGGTTTGCCGGAATGACACGAGTAGTTACGAATGGGGTACGAGTCTTCTTGTAGCTCACGGAAAGAGGCGAGTAGTTACGAATGACCAAAAGCCTGCAGCATGTTCTTTCAGCATTAAGCTGAGGCGCCGTGATATTACTGGAATACTGTTCAAAACGACGTTAAACATTTCTATATTTTCAGTTTATCATATTATTAAGATTTTCCCCATCGCATTTGCAAATTCGTTATTTAGCAAAATTGCGTTATTGATATATCATTTAGACAGCAGGCGACTTACCTCGCCAGACGATGGACCTGAAAGGAAAACGCATTTGAGCAGAATTAGACAAAATCCAAGTTGGCTACTGATGTTGTATGAGTGGGGTATTATGGAGGAATGTTGCCTCTTCAGCAGAGCAAAATTAACAACTAAGAACATTAAACACATGTGACAAATCGTAATGCTGTTCAACTAACATGTGATTATAAATTATTCATGCATAGATATTGTTGAACCCTTTATCGCACTGAATTTGAATACTGTTTCGTGTATTGCTCAGATTGAATTACGTATGTAAATAGTTGCTTCAGTTATGCCCCCAAGCCAAAGTCTCAATAACACTGGGCAATTGTATGCACATAAAAACACTGAATACACCAAGAGAACAAACTTTGACGTTGACATTGTCAACACTGTGGTACGCTTTCAGGATGAGATGAGATTCCTTTTCTTTTCAGATACTAGGCTCTTATACAAAGAAAGAATTCTATATATTACTAAAATCAACACTACTTGTTGCCAGATTTAGCCAAATTCTGTAGACCTGACCCACCCACAAGGTAGATAGAGATAAAAATGTTTTTTTAAAAACTGGACCAAATGTGTTGTCTTTTACTCAACGTTAGTGAGAAAGAAGCGCTGATCTTGAGATTAGTCATATTTGAATTTTCATAAATATGTATATGTTCATGTACCACCAGTGGAGGGTTAAACTGAAGCTGGAACAGAACCTTGATCTCCTTTCACAAACCTCAAAGGTGATCGTAAGTCACTAAGGTAACCTTAGTGCAATGTTAAAGAAACAAGTTAAGGTTAACCTTAGTAAAGGTTGCTTCCTGAAAGGAACCCCTGATCCTAAACCAGAATCTAAAGATTAGGAAACCGTTGTGTCTCAGCCTTCGCGGGTAATCTGGGTTGAACTTAGCTTAAGGTGAGACCTAATGTTTCGGTGGTGTCGTTTCTATCGTTAACTTTCCATTCGACATGGGAGATGCTCGTAATGTCAATCACCAGTTTGTCTGGTCCAGATTATTTACAGGCCACACCCAGCCATGGATCGCAGTTTTAACAAACATAATTGTGTATTCATAACTTGTGACGTGCACTTGCGACGTGATTACGTAGCAATATGTTGGACTAACTTCAGACACAAAGTAAGTGGTGAAGAGATCAAACAGTGCAATACATGTCATGGTCCTATCATCTGCGTCGGGGCGGTGGGGTAGCCTAGTGGTTAAAGCGTTGGTTCGTCACGCCGAAGACCCGGGTTCGAATCCCCACATGGGTACTATGTGTGAAGCCCATTTCTGGTGTCCCCCGCCGTGATGTTGCTGGAATATTGTTAAAAGCGGCGTTAAACCAAACTCAGTCAGTGAGTCAGTCATCTGCGTCAAATCACCAGGAAAGATTGTACTTATTGTTACCCTGACTGGCGCTCAGCATAAGGGGATAAAATACTTCAGTGTATTGTGTCTGAATAGGGTTTTTACGTTCAACCTGCGGCATGATAGCTCAGTGGCCTAGCACTATAGTAAACACACACGCACGCTCACGCACGCACGGTGTGTACGTATGTCATGTTTTAATTGCAATTGTCTTAACCGCGACATTAAACCATCACGTACCAGGATCTACAGGCGCTCCGTTGACGTAGGCGACAAGGACGGCCAGGACAGCGACAGCTACACAGGTATACATCGTCGACAGCTACATGAAACATGGTCAAAATGATTCATTGTCTGCCGAGATGTCTTGCCAATATACTACTGTCACAATATGTCAAAGATGCAAGATATATTAATTTCGAATATTTTGTTTTGTTTCATCAAGCATCTATCGATGGCACGGTTCAAATATTATTTGGACCATGGGGTGTTAGGTTAGAACTTCTCCTCAGCAACTGTGGCTGTCGTATATAGCGACTTTGGTCGATCGTGTGGTCAGACGTTTGGTCATTGTTCATATTAGCCACAGGTTTGTACGGTAAAGCCGAAATATTTCTGAGTGAGGCGTTAAGCAAGAAAGTACACTAGATGTCCACACTTTTAAATGCACTTTGAAGTTGTAAGACTTTGAAACATAAAACTTTTCTGGATAATTTCTTATTGTTTGTAAGGAAGTTTCATGGATACCTACTACGGAAGGGCAAGACGTTGCCTCAAACGACATCAGAAACGCTTGGGTGATACATGTCATCCCAATTGCGTAGATCCAAACTCATACTGTTGGTCACTGGATTGTCTGGTCAAGACTCAGTTATGTCAGATCGCCACCATATAGTTGGAATATTGCTGAGTGCGGCGTCAAACAGCCAACAACGTTTATGGGTATAGACAACCGTATTACAATGTCCGGTTCCAGAGCTGCTTTGGAATCGTCAACAGTCGTACTGTTTCTCTAATTTTGATTTTAATTTTAGTTTTAATTCACAGTTTAGTTAACATTGTTCAATGATCATACACCAGAAACACATTTTGAAGGGGCGGTGGGGTAGCCTAGTGGTTAAAGCGTCCGCTCGTCCCGCCGAAGACCCGGGTTCGAATCCCCACATGGGCACAATGTGTGAAGCCTATTTCTGGTGTCCCCGCCGTGATATTGCTGGAATATTGCTAAAAGCGGCGTAAAATCATACCCACTCACTCACATTGTGAAGTATCGACCTACAACCACAGGTGAGACTCTAGTCTGTGTAATACCTCTGTAGTGTACAGTACACCTACCTTGTTGCCGGAGGTACTGCCGGCGTCTGGTCGTGTGTGTTTATGTTTTACTACCAACAATCCCAGACCTATATGTTTACCAACAGACTGCCGCTCCCTGGCGACCTCTGGACACGCTGACAACACGAGACAAACCAGATAAGATCACGAGTGATTAGAACTAGGTATTGCTCAACCAATATTTCCCTGAAGACTTGTACAGGAACGTTATTTTAAAAATGACTAAAACACCAATCTCATGAATTCACATTTGTAGCCTGCCCTTTAAAGCTGCATTGAAATCACGAAACTTCTCTTCCGAGTACCGGAAGCTATACCAGCCAGTGCTGCACCTACCTGAGTGAGTGAGTTTAGTTTTACGCCGCACTCAGCAATATTCCAGCTATATGGTGGCGGTCTGTAAATAATCGAGTCTGGACCAGATAATCCAGTGATCAACAGCATGAGCATCGATCTGCGCAATTGGAACCGATCCCGTTAGTCGCCTCTTACGACAAGCATGGGTTACTGAAGGCTCATTCTAACCCGGACCTTCACGGGTACACCTACCTGAAACCACCCATCTGTGTGTACATTCAGAAGATGAAATGTTTAAAAAACTAGGATATGAACAATACGTAGTTGGTATAATAACTGTCTTCGGTATAATTTTCAGAAAATCTATATTATTTATTTTTGTGTCGTTCTGATTCATAACGTGATAATTTGATACTGCAGTGCAGCGTTAACACGTGACATGTTAAGACATGACTTCATGTCATCTCCCAACGAGATGAGGCGTGCCCAATCCGCAGATTAAGCAAGCCAGGTCGCGGTTGACGGGAATGGGGCAATACCTTTGAGTAATTCACGAATTGGGCAATTCCGTATATTACGCACGACATATATATCCGTGCTCATATCAATCACTGGATTGTCTGGCCAGGCTCGATTATTTTCATACAGTTGGAATATTGCAGATTTCGGCGTCAAACGAAGCAAATCATAGCTCTCACTCTCAGAGATGGTACAATAAATAAATAATCACCACTATGACGTACCGTGTACCGTTGTACCGTTGTACCGTTGTACCACTGTTTATCATGTATATCGAAATGGCCAGCAAGGACCAGAGCTGTGCATATAATAACGAAAATGTTCTCCGTATCCACACATTCTTACATGTACCAGGAGAGGAGAGCAACTCTCAGTTTGTTCGTACACTGTACACAAAGTCTACGATAGTTTCAAGACCCGGGCATATTACAGTAGAATGAATATTCAGTGTTCATGTGTTCTGTTGACGCTGTCCAATACGTACTTAGTGTCGATATGTTCTGTTGATATGTTCTGATATCAATGTTTTGGGTGGAATAGATGTTTTCTTGAGTAAAGTAAGACGGAGAGGGTAGTCCGTTGCTACGAGACTTCAGGCGCTCGTGGGTTGAGCGTTCGCCCATCACGCCGAAGGCCCTGAATCGATTCCCTACATGGGTACAATGTGCGAAGCCCACTGAAGTCCTCTGTTGTGATATTGGTGGAATTACTGGTATAGGCGGCGTTAAACCCAACTCACTCACTCATCCGGGTTGTTTTTGAAACAGCACTCACACCGTGGCATGGACGAAACCATGGCTATAACTGGATCCTGGAACTGATCATAACGGAACGACGATATTATGCTGTGGACAATCGAAGATGGCGTCATATGTGTGAAAATGATACATTTTGTAATTAGAACAGTAATTATTGTTAAATGATGATATTAAAACATAATATCATTAACTGGGTAGTCTCAAAAGAGAGCAGTTCAAAGGCTTGAACCATTAATGTTGCTAGAATTGCTGTTTAGCTGTTTCTAGTCCCTCTTTAAACACAATCAGGTTCACCGACACAGCTGTCAGTTCTCATGTAGTATGGTCCAGTTTGTGTTCGTGGGAAGTCCTCTTGATAAAACCCTTTACACGATGATTATTTTAAAATCATGAACCAGCTGTCTCCGATTCCCTTGCCCAGTTCCAAAAATGGATTTCTCGTATCTTAATAGGTTGTTTTAATTCAGTAAACGTTTATAATTATCATTTCGGTCAAAAACATTCACATGAACATAGTGGATGCGTGACCCTGCTGCACGAAGGATGGACGATTTTCACTTGAAGTAATTAGTCTGGCTGAATCAGTTCTCCAACAGCGATAGTAACTGAATGTTGCTTTACGGGCTTAGTCCATCCTTACAACAGGTGTTTTATATATATTCAAGTCTAGACTGAACTGTACAGTATTCGGGTCACTGATTGCTGGCACGTGGTCTCGTGCACGGGAACGTCAGTGGGGGTGGTCGTTGACGTGATTGACAGTCTGACTCCTGAAGGTTTCTAGTCCAGTTCTGTAGTGAAGCATATGTGTTACATGTAGTGTCATTTGCAAGTAAATTTCATCGACCTAGTCCTCTTTCACTAACCTTCCACGTGATGAGCGCTCGCCTTAACCACTAAGTCTCGTAGAGTGTGTGAAGTGAGTTTAGTTTTACGCCGCTTTTAGCAATGTGTCTGCAATATCACGGCGTGGGACACCAGGAATGGGCTTCACACATTGTACCCATGTAGGGAATCGAACCCGCGTCTTCGATGTGACGAGTGAACGCCTTTACCACTAGGCTACTCCTCCGCCCCACTCGTGCCACATCAAATCGTTCTTCGCCTCCATTACCCCTGCCAGCTTCCGGTTCAACGGAGTGAAGGAACAGGAGACTTAAATCTAAATATACTTGTTGAATCACATGTCCGCCATATGGGGAATAATTGCGGAGGTTCCTCCCTGCTTCATTCGCCCACTACGCCAGAAGTGATTTTTGTAGAATAAATAGTACGAAAATTCTAACAATAACGACGACAGAAAAGAAAAATAATCTCCAACAGTTTAATGGCAAAATTAGGCAATATGATATTTCTCTTGAAATTCTGCTTATTCTTGTTCCTTCACTCCGTTGAACCGGAAGCTGGCAGGGGTAATGGAGGCGAAGAACGATTTGATGTGGCACGAGTGGCGCTTAAAATGTTGAATTAAATATGTTTTACGTGGGTGATTATTAAATATGAGGTTGGAAATCTGAGAACACAACCCTGTGAGGAAACGGGTGTCTACCTTTGATGGTGGCGATATTTTATTTTGATATTAAAAATATTTTACGAACCGAAGCGAGGCAAGTACGTTGCCAACCCTTGCTCGCTTCGCTCGCATATAGGAAGACTGGTCATTTTCTCTTTGTTGCGCAACCCTATTTGCGCTACAGTTTGCCTGTGGTCTGAGACCTAGTCTAAGGCGATCCGCATGCTTTTATATAACGGTTCCTCATCTTCAACCTCCAGTTTGTGCTGCTAATTTAAAAAAAATGCAGAATATTTTTTTCCTGTGTAATTTTAACGTTATTTTAAGATTTAGATCACATGGTAATAGTCTTCACAGTAATGTGTGATGTTGATCTAGTCACCAACAGTGACGAATTTGGTCCTGGGTAATTACCATAATATACTCATGCCAATAATGGTTGTCACCCCCTCCCCACCCCAACCCCACACACTCCCACCCCACACCCCTTCTCCAATTAAAAAAATTGAAGGGGGTGACAACCATTATTGGCATGAGTATAGAATGGATTTGTTTCGTCTAATATATATTACTGAAAAATTGTAAATCAGGAACAGTGATCACTTTAATAATATAATCTAATGTCGCAAGAAACAGCTGTTTTTCCTTTCCATATTGACGCTGTCCCGGTATAGATGGATGGAATAGATGTTTTTCTGGGTAATATGAGACGGAGAAGGTGGTCCGTAAGGCTACGAGGCTTCAAGTGCTAGTGGTTTGAAGCGTTCGCTCGTCACGCCGAAGACCCGGGTTCGATTAACCGAAAACGGTGTTGCGCATTTCTAGTGTCCCACGCCGTGATATTGCTGGAATAATCCTAAAAGCGGCTTAAAACCATACTCACTCACTCGTTCGTCAATTACATGTAACATCCATAGAAAGGTTATTCTTCATTTTCATGTGCATGATCATGGCTCATAAACTACAAAATAACATCAGAAGTTTATGAGAAATTGAACGAGATGCGAACTGCTTTACTTGAGAATCGAACTCGCTTTAGCTTGTGTACTTGAGACAGTATAATCACGTTAATCGTTTCAGTCAATTTCCTGTGTTAGAATTATCTCCCTTGTACCATAGCCATTGATGAAAGTGTGCGGGCGTTGTGACGATTGATTTGCGTGGAGGTATCTCCATAACATAGGAAACACCTTCTTGCTATTGTAGTCACTCAAGCTTTGATTGAAATAAGGTGATACATGCACATTTATGGGAAATGACAACCCGCTAGAGCTTAACTCTTGTCAGTCAAATAGACGTAGAATCACGATTTGTAATGTGCATGGACCGTAGACCCAAGAAAACTGCAACACAATTCTCTTTGTGAAACATTTGCCTTCAAGTGTGTGCACGAATATTTTCAAACACGCGTTTTCTATTTATTCATCGGGTCGAAATCATCTTGAGGGTACGGAGTTTGGGCCGCGATTGTGTCAAGATAGATCAAACCTATCCAGTGTCCAACAGGATAGGTGAGTGAGTGAGTTTGGTTTTACGCCCCATAGCAACATTCCAGCAATATCACGGCAGGGGCACCTGAAATGGGCTGCACACATTGTTCCCACGTGGGGAGTCGAATGCGTGACGAGGGAACGCTTTAACCCTAGACTAAACCCCCTACCCACTGCGCACCCCACCCCACCTTCCCCGATAGGAAAATATCCTGCCTCACGATATCAACTAAACAGTAAAACACAGTTGAGTTGAAGGGACGTGCGTAAAGTTTTCGAGTTATCCGACGTTTGACAAATCCGACGATCACTACAATGGAATACACTTTGAGACAACGACAATGTTCGACACAACGTCATCGGCACATGTCATCGTTTCCCAATTGCGTAGATCGATGCTCATGCTGTTGATCACTGGGCTCTCTGGTCCAGACTCGGTTATTTACAGACCGCCGCCATATAGCTGGAATATTGCTGAGTGCGGCGTAAAACTAAACTCACTCACTCACTTTTAATGTTGGTGGATTGCAGCGTTAAACAACAAACAATTAAACAACAAACTGT